GGCATATCTAATCCCTCTCGAGTTATTTTGTTTACTCAGATTGCCTTTTTTTTTATACGTATGGTATCCACACTTGCTTAGTTGTTCTGTTCAACCTGCAAGGGACATGTCACAGACACCAACGTAGATGTGTATTTCAGGATAAACCTTCCTTCTGACTATTCATCATTTAGATTTGGCATAGTCGCTTTCTCAGTCTTGACCCGTTAGATCGTATCATTCTTGACCATGGGGTTTAGGCTAGAGTAGCTGTCACTAAACCAAAACCTTGTGATGTTGTCTAAGTCTTAAGGGCATTATGAAAGGTTTATTTGCTTTCTGGGACTCACATCGTAACGGATCAGGGATCTTCCATCTACGTCCCTTGTTGCGGATTTGAGTGAGCTCATGCAGTATGAATTGCATGTTACGGTGCTCAATCCATTAAGTGGAGTATGTCGCTTTTGGTTTTAATAGCACCGTACAGACTTAAGTTCCAAATGTACTCCAACATTTGAACCAGGAGCTCTTTCATCACAACTATATATGACGTCTCACTAGTAAAGAGTTCCTTGTCTGGCTACAGGTCTCATGGATGACACATTATCCATGATTCGGCCCAAACTTTTTATGGGTCTCATCTCAGTCTAGCTGAGGTGACATTTGTGCAGTGATTCTTCTCTACCATCTCATGGTGATCATCTGCTGTCTAACCTTCTATATCCCATGAGAACATAGCGAGGCGGTTGCTCGTGTGAGTGAGCCAACCTTGTGACCTGTACGACATAATTGTATTGCATACCTTGTGCCTATGCATGTATAAATACACAAATATACAAGAAAAATTTCTTTGAACTGGATAAAATGCATTGAATTACTAAGTAAGAGGAAAAGGTTCAGTACAACATGCCTTGTGCCTGTGTATTTGAACAAAAAGGATCAAAAAGAAAAAGGAGTTCAATACATCATGCTCTACGCATGCCCAAGGCCTTTACATGCTTAACGAAAGGATCTCTAGCTATAGGCTTGGTTAGGGGATCTGCCAACATCTTATGAGTGGACAAGTATTGAACTGTCACTTGTTTCTTAGCGATCATATCCCTTACAAAGTGATACTTTATGTCTATATGCTTAGTACGATTGTGGTACTTAGGGTCCTTTGCATAGGCGATTGCTGCTTGACTATCGCAGTGAATCAGAGTTGGTCCCTCACTCCCACCATGGATTCCCAATCGTACTAAGAATCTTTTGAGCCACACAGCTTCTTGGACAGCTGCAGAACAGGCTACATATTCTGCTTCCATGGATGAAAGAGACACACACATTTGTTTCTTGCTGCTCCAGGAGATTGCTCCGTTATTCAGTAGGAAAGCATAGCCTGACGTCGAGTGTCGCTCGTCCAGGTCTCCTGCCCAATCAGCATCGGAATAACCCTCCGCACGAAGGCCATTTCCTTGATAGCATAGCTCATAGTCCATGGTTCCTTTTAGATATCTCATAATCCTCTTTACAGCTTCCCAGTGTTTGACTCCTGGATTGGATTGGAATCGACTCACAAGTCCGACTGCGAAGCATATGTCTGGCCTGGTACACAACATGGCGTACATTAGGCTGCCAACGGCACTTGAGTATGGGACTCTCTTCATGCGTTCTATATCGCATTGTTTTGTAGGGCGCATTTCCTCACTTAGGTTATGTCCCTTAACCACAGGGGTATCCATAGGCTTGCAGTCTCTCATATTGAAACGCTCAAGAATCTTTGCTATGTATGCCTTTTGTGACAATGACAGCAATTTTCTAGAACGATCTCTTCTTATCTTAACGCCTAAGATATATTCTGCTTCGCCCATGTCTTTCATCTCGAAGTTCAAGGATAACCACTCTTTGATCATCTTTATTAGTTTAAGATTGGTACCAGCCAGTAGTATGTCATCAACATAGAGGGATAGAATGACAAAGTTGTCTCCAAACCGCTTGATATAAACACAGTGATCTTCCTCGATCATTTCAAAGTCATAGGAGCTTATAGCTTTGTGGAACCTTAAGTACCACTGCCTAGATGATTGCTTGAGTCCATAAATGGATCTCAATAGTTTACAAACCTTTTGTTCGTTCCCTTTCTGTATGAAGCCCTCAGGCTGTTCCATATAGATTTCCTCATCTAGTTCTCCATTCAAGAAGGCGGTTTTTACATCCATCTGATGTAACTCTAAGTCTAAACTTGCTACTAAAGCCAGTATCAGTCGTATCGAGTTGAAACGTACAACAGGTGAGAAGGTGTCTGCGTAATCCACTCCTTCCCGTTGTGTATACCCTTTGGCAACTAACCTTGCTTTGGGTTTATCAATTGATCCATCAGCCTTACGTTTGTACTTGAGAACCCACTTGCTCCCAATTGCCTTTCGGCCAGGTGGTAGATCAACTAATTCCCATACTTGGTTGGATTCCATGGAATCCATTTCCTCTTGTAAGGCCTTCTGCCATTTTTCCTTAGCAGGTCCTGTTAGTGCTTCTTTAACACTTACGGGGTCTTCTTCATCGTGCTCTGGACTAACGATGAAGGTTGCTCCTTCAATTGAGAAGCGTCTCTTAGGGTTTTGTCTCTGTTACTTCTCCTAAGTGGGGTTGTTGCAGGACTTACTTCCTGTGACTGGGTTAAACCTTGTTGTGAAAATGGTTCAACCCTCCCACTCGGATCAGTAGACTGAGGAACACTTTGTTGTACCTCATTGCCATCATCCTCATAAAGACGGCTTGTTCGATCAATACTCCCTCTGCTAGGATATTCGGTTTCTATGAATGTTGCGTCCCTTGACTCTATCTCAGTCACTGAGCCGTCATCATTTTCACCAATGAAGACATACCCCTTAGAGTTCTCAGAGTATCTTATGAAGATACACTTTTTGCCCCTTGGTTCTAGCTTGTCATATTTATGGGAAGAATCACGAATATAGGCCGCTGACCCCCATGGTCTTAGGATGCTTAGATCCGGTTTGCGGTTTGTCCATGATTCATAAGGGGTTGTTGTGACTGATTTAGAAGGCACTCGGTTAAGTATGAATGTGGCGTTAAAAGAGCATCTCCCCAATATGAGGTTGGAAGCTCAGCTTGTGCCATCATTGATCTAACCATATCGAGGAGAGTTCTATTTCTCCTTTCAGCAACTCCGTTCTGTTGAGGAGTGCCAGGGATTGTTAGTTGCCTAACAATGCCCCTTTCTTCACAGAGCTCCTTGAACTGATCAGAGAGGTATTCTCGGCCTCGGTCAGTTCTTAAGGCTTTGATTCTTGAACCTAGCTGATTTTCCACTAGATTGAGATATTTTCTAAAGCACTCTAATGCCTCAGATTTGTGGGAAATCAGGTAAGTATAGCCATATCGGGAAGAATCATCGATGAAGGTAATAAAATACCATGCTCCGTGACGTGCCCTAACACTCATTGGTCCGCAAATATCAGAGTGTACCAGTTCAAGAGGATGGTTAGCCCTGGTTGCCTTTCCGAAAGGCTTCCTTGTGCTCTTGCCAGCAAGGCAATGTTCACACAGAGACATTTCCTTTTTGGACACGTTTCCTAGCAAACCCTCTTTTGCTAGTTTGGTCATGCGTTCTTGACCAATATGTCCTAATCTAGCGTGCCATATATCGTAATTGACATCGGAAGAAAGCGCATAGCAAGAACTAGAAAAATTATCATTGAAATTTTCTAAAACAAAGAAACCATCCGAAACATAACCAGAAACTGAAAATTGGTCCCATACGAAATGTCTACTGTGAAATCATGAAAAAAGACATTGAAATGAAATCTAACTAAGGAAATAACAGACACAAGATTTCGTCGGATTTCCGGAGCGTAGAGGACATTTTGCAGGACTAGGGTCTTTCCTCCATGCAGGGTCAGCTCACAAGTACCGATCCCTTTGACTTCTACTCTCGCGTTGTTCCCAACATAAAGCCATCTGCTTCTTGCTGGTAACCGACGAAATTCTGTGAAGTTCCCACGATCCTTGCTCACGTGGTCTGTGGCCCCTGAGTCTATAACCCAAACAGGATTAGTTTCAGCAATAAACGCAGTGCTAGAAACATAAGAGAAATGTATTGAATCTGAATCCAATACCTTTTTCTGCTCAGGGCAGTCCTTGGCATAATGTCCCTTTTGTTGGCAAGCATAGCATTTGATGGTTGCTATGTTCCGCTTCTTTGCAGGTTTCTTGCCTTTCTTGAAGGGACTCTTTCCCTTCTTCACTTTAGGGCCGCCTTTCTTATTTTGAGAGCCTTTGCTTCTCTTGGACTGGTTTTGGGAGGTTGTCCCTCCCTTTCCTTCAGTTAAATATGCCTTACTGACAGGCTTCACAGTTTCCATCCGATCATCCTCCAGTTGGAGGTGGCGAGCTACATCAGCAAAGGTTTTTATACTCTCATTATGAGTAATGGTGTGCTTCATGGTATCCCAACTTGCTGGGAGAGATCTCATGACAGCTTGAATCTGTTGCTCATCAGATAAGCGCCTCCGGCTTCCTTAAGCTCCCTTATTAAGTTCTGCATTGCCCTTAGGTGATGCCTTATGGGAGTGTTAGGACCCAGCTTGAAATTATCAAGTTTGACGGTGAGTCTCCTAAGCCTCGCAGCAGAGGTACCGTCAAATTCGGATTTCAGTGCTGCCCACATGGCAGAGGCTGAAGGGTGTGTTTCGAATTGCACCAACACATCGTCAGTCATGGCACTTAGCATGGTTATTCTGGCGATAGTGTCCCTTCTTTTCCAGGCCGCGTAGCCGTCCTGGTCCCTTCGCGATGCATTTGCCTCAGGCTCTGGAAGAAAAGTAGTCAACACATCAGTGACTTCTTGTTCTTCGAGGACATACGATATCTTACGACGCCACATGCTGTAATTGTCTCCGTTCAGCTTGTCACCTCCTACGAGGTCAGCTATAATGGACTTGATTCCTCTTTGAGACATCGTGCTATCACATAGACAACAATGCATTTTAGTATGGTATGCAATATATACACTTTTGTTCAAGTAGGTCATAGGTCGCCTGGGTAAGAGTCTCACCATTTTCATGATCAGGAGACAACTAGGTTGGCTCCCATCCCATTACTCCTGGTTAGTCTCTTACCTTTCTTACCTTTGACTTTCCTTGAACATATCCCCAATTTGGAGTTTTCCTCATGAAACTCCCACTCAAATAAAGCATTTGAAAATAAAAAAAAACTTTATTTATTGAAGCATGAATGTTTACAAAAAATTGGATAATTCCAAAAATGAAGTCTCAAGAGTAAACATTAAATGAAAAGAAATACAAATGTGAACAAAAACTCATTCGTTCATGATATATTTTATCATTGGTTCTCTCAAACTCTCTTTAACACCTTTCCAGCATCTACAGAGACATTGTTTGAAAAATGCTTCACTAAATATGTGTCCCCTCCTTGCCAGTTCCTCTCTGTACTGGATTGCAATATTTGAGAAAAAGAGTGCGTCTTGCTCATTGACAATTTGTTTAGCATAATAATTCAATTTTGAAAATAGGCACTTTTGATGCTTGTATTCATCAGCATGCTTTTCTGCTATCTTTTCTATTAAATTTATGTCCTTGGGTCTGCAGACTTCTTCCTCTTGTTGGTCAGGAACACATTTCCTTTTACCACTGCTCCCCTCAGGTACATTAGAGTTTACTTGTGATTGAGGCGCTTTTCTTTTATTTGTACTTTCGGCAGCATAATTATTTGAAGATTTCGGAGCATCAGAAAGAGGAGAATAAGTTGGATATTTTCCAAAAGAGGAGTTAGAATTTGAGTTTGAGTTGGCCATTTCCTAAACCCAAAAAGAACAAGTTAAGAAAAATATAAAAATAAATATTCAAAACATTTATTTGCTATTTTTCATACCCAAAAAGTCATAAAAAATCAGCACATAATATATTAATTCATAGCTCATGATTTTAGAAATATTTCAGGTCAAACAGGGCTCAAAAATAGTCCCTCACGCGCCCTCACGCGCCCCAACAAGCAAAATTTTTTTTTTTTTTTTTTTAAAGAGCTAGGATCGCCCACTCTCGGGACCGGCGCGTGTCATACACGCGCCGCCTTTCCGGCCTCTCGCCGTCACCTGACCTGTCCTATCTGATTCCTCACGTCTCAAGGAGTCTATATATGTGCTTTTTATGACCAAAGGGTCCCTAGGTGGACCCCACGCGCCCACATGGCGCGTCCAAAAAAAATTTTCAGAAAAAAATTTTTTTTTTTTAAAATTTCAAAAAAAATTATTTATTTTTTTTTTAAAATAAATTTTTTTTTTAAATGTCGGTCGGGTCGGTCTACCGACCCGACTTCCAGGGGGATCCGGGTCCACGGACCCGAAACGCAGCGTTTCACTTAAAGTGAAACGCTGCGTCCTGGCCAGCCCAAAACGACGCCGTTTTGGGCTGGTCAGGTCGTCCCTGACCTCCAGCCGGGTCGCCCCAGATCCGGCTGGAGCTCCGGCGGGTCCGTCGCGACCCGCCATTTTCGAACCGCCGTATCTTCCTCCTCCGAGCTCCGTTTTATGCATTTTAGGTGTCTATGGACTCGTATTTTCGTGCTCTACAACTCTATGGGTTTATTTTCTTTAAAAAACATCAATTTTAAAGACCCAAAAACAAGGTTCGAACGGCCGACGTTGGAAGCTCCAGAAAATAGACTTCGATCACGTTTTTAAATCTTACGGAGTAACAAGTAATGTTTTCGAACTTCAAACGGAGTGTGTATTTGAGTTTAAAACACAAGCATATTCAGTTCGAATGGCATACGGCATATTCACGGTGCAGCGGAAAATATGAGCGTGTAATATATATATGCACACATATATTGAGAGCCTCAAGAACATCTCGGCTCTGATGCCAATGTAAGAAAAATATTGGAGAATGGATCGAAAACATACCGGGTCGGATCTCGGGTCGGGTCGGTCGGATCTCCTTAGCTCACGCTTAAGCTAGACTATAAAAGTCTGAGCTTTTAAGTGCACAGCAGAGCACCACTTTTGCAAGAAAGAAAATTAAGAGAGAGAGAGAGATAGTAGGAAAGCTCTACTACTGGAGTGATTTGAACTGATGGGGGGAAGCCTCTATTTATAGCTTTTGTCAGGGATATTTTGGGTAGCATAAAAATATCCACTGAGCCCATCAGATAAAATCTGAGATAAGATATAATATATCCTTATCTCATAATATCATGATATTTTGAATTCAAATCCAGAATCAATCTTAATTAATTCTAAATATATATACTTAATATATATTTAATCTATACAATATAAATTAATTAATTTAATATAAATTAATTAGATTTATATCGTAACCGATTGGATATGATTCAGGATGTTTGACCAAGTCAAACATATCATGATATCGCTTGGATATTTGACTGATATATTCTCTTTATACCGGTCAAATAATCCGGCCCATCAAGGGCGGATCCAAGCCCAAAAATCTAACATTATGAGCTACAGAGCATACATGAGCACCTTCTGAAACTTAGAGAGCTTAATTAAAATAACATACATAAAGCTTCAATATTTTGAACTTTCATGATCTCATTACATACACAGTGAGCAATACTTCATCTAAACAAATGAATGACTTTGTGGATGCATGATTACTTCATCTAATTACTTCAAGAAACTATCAAAACCAAAAAAAAAAAAAAGGAAAATCAATATCTTCACTTCAGTCTTCAATGATCCTTCCAGAATGGCAAGAAATGGAGAGTCAATGCATTTTTCACTTGAGATATATTATTACCAAATTTTCCATACTAACCATATTTATTACTCATAATTCCCCGAAACCTGTACTTTCCATATATGCAACTCTCTCTGATGCTGAAATTTCACAGACAAAGGTCATCAAAATCCTAAGCTGATCAAACCTAATTCTATAAATATGAATATCAGTAAAACTGAAGATGTTAAAACAAATAAACAAATATTACTGTTATGATGAAAAGGAATCATGCAGCTGGCTTTAGCTTTATTCGTAAGGGTCCATGAAATCAATGCGATAATGTTTTGATTGACCATCTCTTCGTGGATGTGATTTTGCAAGGATTCTTTAAAAGAAGAAAAAGAAAAAGAAGAAAAGAAACGAAGAAAGTTTAAACCAGTTAAGTTTTTGCGGGTAAGGCCGACCCATAATCTCAGTGCTGGTATTATCAACACTGCTAAAACTATAAAGATGGAAATTGTCCACTTAAAAGTTGTTCATTCAAAGACGGGTATATTAAATACGAGCTGGATGGTACCTGTTGCTGAATCTTCGAAGATTTCCATTATCAGTTACAGTCTATAGTATGTTAGGTGCTAAAATTGGGTTTGATTGCACTGTACGTAGAGACATGCTTAAACATATGAATCAACTTCAACATACTTTGGTGAATAAATTCGCAAAGCAATGTCCATAAATAAATATTGATGATAGGAACATAGAGGCAAAGACGAAACAGATATATGATAATGAAGGATTTTGAGAAGGAGATTGTTGAGTAAGACGCACACATGACACATATATATGGGTTGGCGCCGACTGCGGCTAAGGCAGCTCAATGGAAGGTTCCAATAATATTGTCAGAGCGCGTGAAGAAATATTAATGTGAATAGCCTTTATAAGGCAGCTTCTTGCTCTTTTTTTTTTTTTTTTTTTATTCGACCACTTATCATATAGTCAACAACCATACAACGCGAAGTTAGAAGTCCAATCATTGAACTCGACGACCATGTAGAGAGAGACAAAGTCATGATTCAAATATTTCAATTTAGTTTCCTTCCTGATCACGAGAAGACTTAAAACTAGCAATCACTTGGTTATTGTTATTCTGGAGATGATCACCAGGCCATCTCTTACATGATCAGAATCTTATGAACTAAAACTAAAACGTTGTTCTATTTTGCCACCACTCAAACAAATAACTTGTCACAGCTCTCTCTAGTATGAGTAGTCTGTAATTGCAAATGTAAGGGTTCAAATAAAGAACTATAATGACACCTATAAAAAAGACCCCAAATGCTCCAGCAAAACTCCATAAAAAGGCATCTTGAAAATCATCCCCTTCCAAATGATGAGGTTGCTTGTTTCTTCCTGCTTTTGAGCAATTTTGCTGTAAAGGCGGACCACATAAAAAAGGGTTCCCTTCATAACTGGCTGAATCAAAAGTTGCAAATTGATTTTTCATGTCAGGTGTCGTTCCAGATAGATTGTTATGAGCCACTGAGAAGACGGACAAGGAGTACAACTGAATTAGTTGTTTAGGAATGTGACCTGTCAATTTGTTGCGCGAAAGATCAAGGCTCTCTATCTGCTTGAGGTTGGAAAATGTTTCTGGAATAGGCCCCTTCAATTGATTGTTTGACAGATTTAATGCATGGATAGTGCCTAAGTATCCGATTTGTGAAGGAATCTGATTTGTCAATTCATTACTTGAGAGATCCATCCCAGACATGAAATTTAAAATGCTTCCTTTATAAGATTCATACCTGTTTTTTGTTGTAAAATCTACCTCTTGGTCTTTATACAATGCAACATTTGGTTTTTTGTTTTCATCCATAGAAACTTCACCAGTCACAAAGTCAAATGTATACCCTGACAATCTCGTAGTCCATAACACAATAAAATGTCCTATTTCGGTTTCCCTTCGTGCATCTATCTTTCCAAATGTGATGTTATTCAAGCAATATGGTATGCCTCCAGAAAGCTTATTTTGAGAAAGATCTAATAACCCGATATTCTTGAGCTCGCATAAACGTGTAGGAATAGAGCCTTCAAGCTTGTTTCCTTTTAACATGAGGACCCTCAAACTCAAAAATGAGCCATTCAATCTTGAAACTTGACCAGAAAAATTGTTATTCATCAAATTTAAAGTCAACAATAAAGGGGAATTAGCCAAAGTGGAAGGTAGAGGTCCCTTGAAATGGTTGCTTTGCAGATGCAAGTACTTCAACAATGGAAAATTTAGACAGATTGGCAAAGAGCCAATGAATTTATTTTTAGAAAGGTCTAAATATGTAAGTTCGGTCAAGTTGCAAAAGCTTTCTGGTAGTGAACCTGTCAAAGAATTCTTTGACAAAACGAGGTAACTCAAATGTTGAAGGTTTCCGATCCAGCTAGGTAATTCACCAGATAGTTGGTTGGCACTAATATCCAACATTCTTAATTCAGTACTATTCATGACCGCACCTTCAAGCTTTCCTTTAAAGTTATTGTTGTTGAGATCTAAAAACAACAAAGATGTGAAATTTGATCCTATGGGAAGACATGGGCCACTCAGGTGGTTGTTTGACAATTTCAAAAACCTCAATTCATTGTTAACTTGACCAAATTCTTGGGGCAAGTAACCAGATAAATTATTATTTGACAAGTCGAGATCATTCAGTTGTCTCATTTCACCTATTGAAGTTGGGAAGCAACCTCGCAATAAAGTTGAAGACATGTTAAGAGAGATCAAGTTGGGAAAAATGAAGCCAATATGAGAAGGTATTTCATCTCTAATGGGGTTAGAGGAAATATCAAAAGACTCCATTTGAAGCAATTTTGAGGTGGAATTGAGTTCAAAGGGACCGGTGAACAAGCTGTGGGTCAGATTGAAATAATGCAATTTTGTGTTGTTTGTCAAAAGCCAGGACGGGAAGGTGCCTGAAATGCTCAAGTTCATAAGGGACAGAAATAGCAAGTCATATTGATGAAGAAGAAAGGTAGGCATTATTTTATTGTTTGCTTCATTTAGAATGCAGTTGCGGATTATGAAAACCCTCAATTGGAAGGAAGGGATAAATCGGGGATTCTCTGTTTCAAGCTTGAGGTTGGTGTTGGAGCAATGAATGGCAAGGATTTTGAGGTTGGAGTGGTTGGCAAGCGATGAGAGTGAAAATGAGCCACTGAAATTGTTGTCGGAAAAAACAAGTGCTGTTAGAGACCTCAAAGTATGAAAGAGTGAGGAAGGAAAGGTTCCTTCAAAACGAGTTCGAAAAAGATAAAGTGTGCGTAAGGACGTCAAATTGCCAAGGCATGGAGGGAGTTGCCCCTCAAATTCATTGTTGCTAAGTTCCAATAATAAAAGATTCTTCAAATTGCACAGGCCTCCTGCAACATAACATTTTTCTTCATTAAATTTATTTCGTCAGAACAATGTATTTAAATTAATATTGGGACCAGGAAAAAAAGCCTCAACATTGAGCCCAAAAATATGAGTAAAAATGAATTATTAAGCCATTTGCTTTTATTAGTTTTAGCTTGTCCATGTGTCTAAATACTGCTCCATCTTCTTGTTGTTGTTATTGTTTTGTCAACTGTTATTTGTTTTGACTACATTATTTTAAACTACTGCCGCATGCCAGTTAGGAGATGGATTGGAAATCGATTTCATTGAACAGTCGACTCAATTTGCACGAACAAGGAAAATTTGACCGTTTAATTAAAATAAAAATTTTTATCAGCAAATCTGATGTTTATTGGCGAATACTCAATTAATGGATTATTTTCTTTTCATCACAGATGCTATAAAATATGATGCGTACCTCGTTGTGGCAATGATCCAGTCAGGTTGTTATTATCTAATGTCAATACCGTGAGGGAAGCCAGAGACGTAATAGATTCTGGAATACTGCCCTCCAAGTAATTAGCACCAAGCCACAGCGCCTCCAGATTACGTGAATGAGAAAGGTCTGTCAAATGCCAGATGCAAATGTGTGCGTTAAGCCACAGCTCCTTCAAATTAATTAGTGTGTATATATATGTGTGTGTTGTTAAAATTTATTGATAGTGAATCTGCTAAGTAAGAAAACGTCATCTTATCTCTTTTGACATTTCATTCAATTCTTTCAATTAAATAAAGGCACATAAATTGTTCGGTTGAGATGCTTATTGGCAAAGGTAAATAATTTGACTTCCCAACAAAATCAAGATAAAAAATAGAAACTTTCATATATTTAATGGAGAAAACTTTGTCTATATCTTCCTTTTAGCATTTTTCTTAAAATGATGGCCCGGTAATCTTTTTTCTAAAAATAGATATACTTTTGATGCACGTTTCAGTAACTACATATGTCGCTCAAAATATAGGATAATATAGAAGACAAAGATTTAGCACCGAAATATGGGAATTCTCTGAGCATATTGTATTGTAAGTTCAACACTTCCAAGTTCGCCAGCCTGATATCGCCAAGCAGCCCTGCCCCACAAACAACATGTGATCAGTTACTATGAATGTTAGTGGGTATAAAGAATTATAAAAAAGTGAAAGTTTGATAATGTAGTTTTTATTAAGGTTGCTTTGGGCCCCTTCATATATCCAAGAAAATATCTTGCTTAATAATTTATTTTTTTAAAAATATTTAAAACACAAATCAAAACGTTTAGTATCTCAAACATTTTAAAAAATATCTTACTTGATTATATTTTTAAAAAAATTAGTAATAAAGCTTTTGGTACTCAAATTTAATTTGTCTCCGTTATCATTTGGTCTGTGAAGTTTTAATTTTTATCAATCAAGTTCCTAAAGTTTCATACGCAACTTTTACTCCCTCTGATGCTACCTATAAGATATAAATGATTAAATTATGTAGATTATATGGTTTGTTGAAATTGCTTAAAGGCAATAAATATGTAAAAATGTATTTTTTTCCAAAAATAATAAAAATGGTGAATGAGGGAGAAATTGAGTAAGAAAAAGATAAGTATGAGAGAGAATAAATGAAGTGATATAACATATAATTATTGGGAGAAAATATAAAAAATTGGTTCAATTTCATAAATAAAGCAAAGTGGGGGTTATCATCCTTGAATTAATGGTTAGCGTAGCAAATGTGCGTTTAGGATTATATATCTTCAAACCATAATGACTAATTTTGTATGATTACGAAACTTTAGGGACTTGATGTATAATAATTAATTAAATTTCATGGACCAAATCAATAAGTGAAGCAAATTTGAGGGACGGAAAGTTTCATTATTCCAATCAGAAAAATCATCCACACATATTCAGCTAGAACTAGAATGGACTCTTACCCCGGCAAATCAGTGGACTAAAAGAGGAAACCAACAAAAAAGAACGAGATAAAAGGCAATGAATGATATGATCATAATCATTATTAACTATTTTTTTTACCGTAACTGATGTGCTTTTACATCTTCAAAAATCACAGTTCGAAATACTAATAAAAATGTCGGTCTTAATTAACAATGTATGTTTATGTACTGTGTGTGTGTGTGTATATATGTATGCATGAATGATAGAATAGTTAAAAGAAAGAGGGTGACCTGACAAGTAATTCCCACGCAAACGCAACACTTGAAGCTGGATGAAGGGGAGAAAAGAAGAAGCATTGAGTGACCATTTGATGTGTCCCAACTCTTCAGCTCTTGTGTAACTCAAATCAATTACTATCACTCTGTGAGTAGAGTTGTCACACTTAACAGACTCCCAAGTGCAGCAATCAGAGAAGGTTTGGTTATTCCAAGAAGGAAGAGAAGAGCCATTTGGAAAATTGAAAGCTTCTTTCAATTTCAGAAGAGCTTCTTCTCTTCTTTCAAGCACCCCTCGGCTTCTCCATTAAACCCTAATAATATGAATATGATTATGGCCATCACCCACCGCACCTCTTCTCTCACTGAATACCCCATTTTTCTCAATGCATGTCTTCAACTGCGTGTTGTTCATCTATATATAGAGGCCCTATCTTTGCCTGCAAGACTCAGATTGGGCAGAGGCAAAAAAAAAGCTCCACTTCATATCTGACATGTTCATCTAGTCCGAAAATTTTTTTTTGGGGGCCGGGGGGGAGATTAAGATTCCTTCCCCGAAAGACACGATTATATTGACTTGACCTCTCAATTCATGGTCTTGACAATTAATTGCTAACAATGTGCATTGCACAAATTGTTCTATTCTTATCACTATTGATTCAAAATCAGTGCGAGTGGCCATTTCTGCAAACGTATTAAAGGGAATCTTAAACGCCAGATTGTTGGTAGACAAGGTTGACGGTGCCACGAAGCACGAAGTAAATTATACATATATACATCGAAAGCTTTATTATGCACCATGCGACTATTTACAGTCATGAATTTCTATGACACATTAATTAGGATATGCATTTGGGCATAAATTTAGAAGATTATGACTTAATTTGTCTCCTCCAAGTGTATATTTATGTATTAGGCCTTTAATATACTGGTGATTTGGGCTCTCAATGCATATTGTAGCCTCTTAAGATAAATCTCTTCATTTAGGTATTCCTAACCTTGGATGATTTGGCTTTGGGTTGAATTGTTAAATGTAATGTTGATGTCACATGCATGTTGCCATGAAAGGCTTGATCAACATGTAGGACGCCAACTTGGACGCGCCACCTGGATGTAACTTTATCCGCTTAGGACACCTTATAAAATCACATCACATCTTATTTAGCCACTTCAACATCTAACTCATCCATCTTCCTACGTTGATCAACTGATAGTGTTCTTTAAAAATTTGGTGAGAGATTAATAAGAACCAACTTGGTAATTTAAAATTGGAAATTTCAAAGAGTATCTTGCAATAATTTTGTATCTTATTTAATAATTTATTCTTTGTATTCTTATCATGACTAATAAAAGTCAGTGCATGTGCCTTAACATTCTGCAAAATATACCCTACAACGCGCATCACATTGGGCCGTCATTGACCAGCTGCCATCCCACATCTCACGTCTTGGATGGCTAGACATCTGTACGCATTCACACTACTTTCATAAATCAACCTGCCAGCAAGAATGACATTTATCATAAAGTTATAAGGAGTCAAGTTCTGAGAGGAATTTAACGTATAGTTTCCTTGTGTTGAATCCGGGTCGTGATTATGACAAGTTATGAAGTTGCTGATGAGCAGAGAGGATTGAATGACATATAAATCTCATTCGTGTGTCATTCTTCGATCAAAGAAAACTACAGTTTTGTTTCACAAGTGAGGTTCTTCAACGTTGTTAACACACACACACACACACACACCCCTATATGCTTCCTGCATGCGTGATTCTGTATATCTCTTTGTAAAATTTGAGATATATCTTCACACAAAGTCTAAATATGCAGTTTCATTTGCAATTAAGTATTGTTTTGGTTGATTTATGTAGGCCTTTGTCTCAAGTTTCCATGGATCAACCCGATCCAAGAAGTATTCTCTCAAGTGCTCCCCTTCATAACTGACACAAATTTGGAGTCGTTAGTCAGAAAGATTAGAAAAAGATGAAAGATTCCTTGCCCCCAAAATACACGATGGGGCTTGACGTGACCTCTCGACGACTTATGATTGATCCTCACAGTTGTTAACAATGTTCACCACACAAATAAGCTTTATATCTGTGTGTGTGTGTATTCTTATCAAACAAACTTTGCCCCATCAAAGGGAGTTTGGAAAGCCAGACTGTATATGGTAGACTGAGATTTTTGCGCAGAAAGTAAACTATACGTCTAAACTCTGAAGTTTATTTCTATACGTTTATCTGTGTTTAGCACAAAAATTGACTCCTAGGCACTCAGTTAGGGCTAATTATTAGGATAAAAACTTATAGAATTAATCTAAACTGGATTTTCCGGTTTGAACTTGATTAGCCAAAGACTGGTAATTATACAAACAACAAAGATAGAAAAAATATACTACTTACAGTCCTAATTATAAGACTTTATTTGTAGTCTACAAATGAGATCTTATAATGAGAACCAAAGTAGTAATAGGTGAGTTGGTTTGCCAAATAAAAAATTATTTCCACTAATCTCTGCTTGTTTTTGGGTCGTGTTCATTGGTTTTAGACTCTGTTTATTCTTGATCTTACATTTTAATCATGCACATTTGTTTTTAAAGATTTATAGTATTTTCCTAAGAGCAGTGTTTCTTTTTGTTTTGTTTTGTTTTTTGTTTTGTTTTTGTTTTTTTGCGCCTGCCTAAGATTCCTCAGTGTGAGTCTGAGATATGGCATGTTTATGCACATAAAACACTTCTATATATTTTAATGAATTTTTATGTTAATTGTCGTGTTTTATATATAAAGTTTAATTAGGCTATAGCAAAAATTACGTACGTTCTATAATATTACAATTTAAGTGTGTTTCAACAAGAATCAAATCTTTTAATTACTATGGCCGAGTTGCTGTAAATCTTAATCTTGATTATTTTATATAATTCCAAAATGTAACATCATGCTATATATATAATTAACTAAAATCAGATTCTGCTTGCCTAAATAAATTTAAAGCCTAACCTTTTACTACTATACCTGTTGATTATTGATGCGTATAATAAGAGTCTCCTGTTCAGCTTGTCTCTCTCAGAGTAGACATTTATAGGAGTAGATTATAAATGAAAATTGATCAGATTATAATTTGGGGAAAATCAAAAAGATTTTTTTTCTCTTAACATCTTAATTAACTACCATACAATAGTACACGGAAAGTAAAATGAAAGGGAAAAAAGTATCATTGTTTCACATAAACTGATAACAGTAATGAAATCTTGATAATCAACATCCACAGCAAAATTCAACTGAGAGAAACGTAACATTTTGCCAAATTGAAAAAAAACACAGCACTTGCTTTGTGGCAAACAACCAATAAAGCTAACAACCATGCAAGACTTGAAAAGTAAGTCACAACCAACAAAGCTAACAACCAAGACTTGAAAACCAAGCCACAGTCTAACCCCGGTTTTGGGGGGGGTGTTAATATAGTCAATGGCCAGAGATCCCACAGACTTATAAAATAATAAAATTAAAATGTATTTTTATAAAAAGAATTTCATTAAATATAAATCACAGACTTATCAGTCTGCTATTTTGGGTGTGATTAGAATCTATGACACATAGAAACAGATCTGATCTATGATGGATTGTTCAAACAACGTTGGGACACAGCGCAATTTTAGCAGAAAATATCTAACAAAACCATAGTATACACTGCAAGAACCTCTTGCAGATAATAATCATTTTTCCTATATATATTGTAACGGCCATATGGTTATGACAAATGATGTAGTTTCTCGCTGAATGGGTCGTGATTATAACAAAACATAGAGATAAATTAAAGTTGCTGATGTCATTTCCGCAACATAATTTAAGAAAACTTGAGTTTTGTTTTATAAATGAGCTTTAAGGTTTAATATATATGTTGGGTTTAATTAGCACGTAATATGAGAATTATAACTGTGAATGTGGAAAAAATGCAGAATTTGAAATGATAGCCAAAGATACAGACAAGACGAGAGAGGGATCAAAACCACAGTCCCACGGAAACTCTTTCCACTTTGATAATTGATGATGTCAGTTTCGACATCTCTGTGCGAAACTTGGCTCAAAATCTTTCCACAAAACTGACAATCTTTTGGTTATTGTGATCGTCTGTTACATGATCAAAATTTTATGAACTACTAAAAGGCTATTCTTTTTTGCCTCCACCCATGAAATAACTTGTCACCGCTCTCTCTAATATGACTAGTTTGTAATTGAAAATGTAAGGTTTCAAATAAAGAACGATAATGACACCTAGAAAAAAGACCCCACATGCTCCTGCAAAAGTTCATAAGAAGGCGTCTCAAAAATCATCTGCTTCGAAATGATGAGTTTGCTTGATTCTCCCTCCTTTTGATTTACTATTCTCGAGTCGCTGTAAATCTTAAACCTTGATTATTTTATATAAATTCTGAAATGTAACATCATGCTAGATATATAATTAACTAAAATCAGATTCTGCTTGCCTAAATAAATTTGAAGCTCAACCTTTTATTACTATCCCTATTGATTATTGATGCATATATAATAAGGATGCCCTGCTCATCAGCTTGTCTCTCTCAAAGAGTAGACATTTACAAGGGCAGATTATAAATCAAAATTGATTAGATCATTTTTTTTTCTTTTAATATCTTAATTAACTCCCATACAAAGTACACAGGAACTAAAATGAAAGGGAAAAAGTATCATTATTTCACATAAAGAAATAATAATAATGAACTCTCAATAATCAATATCCACAGCTAAATTCCAGGGCCTAGCAGCAGTATAACGCAGCAACACTGCACAGCAAAACAACGTAGTCAAACAAAACATACCAATTAATTAGTTGACCTTATATATATATAATCTACAATCTAATGGGAAAAAAAATAGTACTACCTCCTGTCCTAATTATAAGAGCCAGTTGACTAATTTGAGGAGATTAAGGAAGTAAGTTGAGTTAGTTATTTATCCTAAATAGGTGTTGTTTTTCCTAAAATATCCTTACTAATCAAGTGTATTGACTAGAACTATCATTGTTAGAAGGGCTACTTTGGAAAAAAAATATATAAATATGAGAGACAAAGTGGATTGGGGTCTTATATTTAAGACCAAAATAAAGGTCAAACAGGGTCTTATATTAAGGATCGGGGGTAGTATATGCAATAAATTACAAATTAAGTTGGATTAATTGTGTTCTGTGTGGGAAAAGATGTGAGATGAGAAAGTGATGAGAGAGGAACCCACCATCCTTTCCAGAAGCCTTCGCCCTTACATTTGGTGTCAGCTGGGATCTGTGATGAATCTTGAACAGCTCGCACGGTGGTGGGATATCCAGGTGGCGGTGTTTGGTGGTGGTGATAAGCCTGACCCGGTGGAGGA